GTCATGCAGGCCTCGCTGATCCCAACCCTCACATTCAGCCTGAACCTTTAATGTCTTTTTATCTCTTTAATTATAATAACATTTATTGAGCACATCAGATGCACGCAGTACCATCCTGAGAGCCCCCTGCATTATCTTACCTGGGGCCCACGTCACAGCAGATCACCTGAGCCATGTGGCATCACTATTGCCAGTTAACAAGTTGAAGTGACAGAGCTACGGAGATTCATTAGCTTATCCAGCAGCAAACAATCTCATGTGTGGGGGACCCTGACTCGAGACCAGATCTTCTGAACCCCAGAGCCCAGGCTTGTCACTGCTGTCCTCTGTTAAACCTTTCCATGGTGACCTCCTTTTGAGCCCTTCTCGTCTAGAACACAGTCAAGAAACACCTCTGTTCTCCAAGTTTGGTGATTCGGCATACTGAGGAAAACCACTGAGCCGAAAAGCAGAAAAAGTGATCAAACTACCAGCACAAATGTCACAAAATCCATGCACTTCACTCCTGGGAGAAGGGCCCATTTGGCATCTAATTTCTTTTTTCAAATAACTCAAACAAGCTTCATGTGTCTGGCTTCCGTACTCACAGAGTATTAGTCTGGGAAATTAGAAAGTGGGGAAAGGAATGCTCGCGGCAAGGAGGCTCACAACAGGAAGCTGCAACAGCCTCAGAATGAGACAGAAAAACTTTAAAATGCAGACCGGGGGACCAAAGAAGGGTCAGCAGCAGGGACAGCTAGCCCAGTGCAAAAGCCATGCGGGGGCAGCTGGGCACAGGCTGTGCTGGGAGAGGGGGCACAGTTCTGACAAGAGGCCAGAGAGCGCATGGGTTCTGGTAACTAAGGCAGGAAGTATGCAACACATTCTAGAAATGATTTCAATAGTCCTCAAGAATCCTGAAACTCTGGTGGTCCCCGAGGGGTTCTGCACAACAGAAGATGTTGTGTTTCCAAAGTGTTCCTATAAAAGAAAAATCAATGGGCTAGAAAGCTAACAAACACCAGCCGTGAGTGGGATTTGACTTTATAAAAATAAAAAGCAGCCCTGCGGCTTTGCTGTGTGCCTGGACCCACTCTGTGTGCTACTGGTTCTCCAACCAGGCCAGCCTTTGTCCGGAACATTTAGCAACAGGAAGAGTCACCACAGGTGACTGGCCAGCACAGGTGGTTTGCGTGTGTCGTGTGTCGTTTAATCTTAGCAACAACCTTACAAGGTGAGGGACTCACATAACCTTCTTCTTTTTTTTTTAATGAAAAAAATGAAGCCCAGAGAGGTTGAATAACTTGCCTAGAGTCACACAGCTGAGTCCTGGCTAACCCCAGAGTCCTCACTCTTCCCCACTTGACTATGCTACCTCTGTAATCACAGACTCCATCCTGAGCCCCAGCTGTGTCTCTCAAGCACATGGCACCATTTGCAAGGGGGCAGGAAGGTGTGTGAGTAGACCTAAGCCCACCCAACACCCAGGGAGGTAACAGTGCAGAGCCACTATCCCACTGAGCTTGGGCCTGGGGCTTCCTTGGCCCAGGGAGGCCTTGGTCTTTAGTGCCAGTGTCAAGACTGTGAGCATGAATGAAGATGAGAAATGAGTGCCAGCCCGTGCTGTTTGCAAGACCAAGAAAATGCCCCTGGAGCTGAATCAGATGATGGTGGCATGTTGTGTAGTAAGCTCTAGATTAGATGGTCCTGGACTGGTATCCGGCCTCTGCCCCACAGTGACCTTGGGAATGTTCCTTAGTCTCTCTGAGTTTCCTCATTTGTAAAGTGAGACACTAATAGTAATATTAGTAATACTAATAATGACCATTGTGGAGCTCAAATGAGGAAATGAATGGAAAGTGTGGAATGCCTGGCTCAGGCAGGGCTCTATCCACCTGCTGGTTGCTTTGAGCAGCAACCTAGGGAAAGTAGCCCACAGTCATCTAGGCACTGAGCCTCCTAAAAGGCCATTACAGACAAACTGGTGTTCTAGAAAAGCATGTGCCAAAGAGGCTGAAAACTGACATGTTGTCAGGGATTCTCCTGGGAAAGTGACCCTGGTAGCAGACTCTGCACAGAGGCCTGTGTGTCATGGGGCCAGTGGAGGGACCGTCACCAGGAACTTCCATGTCTTGTGTCTTCTGTGGGTTTCCCTCTGCAGTGGACAGAGGAAAATAAAGTTCCAGTTGTTCCCCAGAGTTACCTCCTTGTAGCCTGGGAAGGTAAGAAGCCTGAGAAGATTGGAGACCCCAAGCTCAGCCGTGAAGCAGGGTAACCAGAAGCAGAGGGCATGGGCCAGAGAGCAGGTGTCCCTCCTCCTCCAGAAACATCATCAACCAGATATACTGAAATTTCTATGGGGCAAAAGAGAGAAGGGGGAAATGAGACAGGTTGCCTTTATTTTGGTTTCCATGTTAGCAAAGTGTTACATGCACAAAGTTTAACAACCGAATACTGTAATACTGCAAAGCCTACAGTGGAAACCTGCACCGCCCTCCCTCCACCGAGTCCCACCCCTCCCTCAGTCCATAACTCTGCTGTTTCTTCTGGCATGAAGTTCCATATTCTTATAGTTTTTTGTTTTGTTTTGAGACATTTGTTTGTCGCCTGTCACTGGGCTAGGTTACAGTAGTGTCATCATAATTCACTGCAACCTCAAACTCCTGGACTCAAGTGATCCTCCTGCCTCAGATTCCCAACCTTAGCCGGCTATTTTTTTTTTTTCTTTACCTTTTGTAGAGATGAGGGGGGAGTTCTCATTCTTGCTCAGGCTGGTCTTAAACTCCTGACCTCAAGCAGTCCTCCCACTTCAGTCTCCCAGAGTACTGGGACTATACGAGCCACCACGCCTGGCCTCCTATATGATATTCTTATATCAGTTCTTGAGTTCTCAGTTTTAGATGCCATCAGTTGATTTCCTGTTACAGCAGATGAAGGTATCGTTCCTCTTCTGTTCCCTCCTATCCTCCCTCCATCCTCTCAATATAGTTTGATCACAATTTTTATTAATTCCATAATCAGAGTTTAACGCTAGTATAATTATGTAAATACTATTAATTTAAATGCCATGTATTTTACTGTATTTAAATTTCCTGTGTTCAATTTTTGTGTTTTTCAGAATTTAAGATGTCCTTATTTTATCACTTTAAAATAGCTTTTCAGGGTGGCGCTCCTAGCTCAATCAGCAGGGTGCCGGCCACATACGCCCAGGCTGGCCGGTTCCAACCCGGCCTGGGCCAGCTTAAACAACATTGACAACTACTGCAACAAAAAAATAGCCGGGCATTATGGCGGGCACCTGTAGTCCCAGCTACTTAGTAGGCTGAGGCAAGAGAATCGCTTAAGCCCAAGTATTTGAGGTTGCTGTGAGCTGTGATACTATAGCACTCTACAGAGGGTGACATAGTCAGACTCTGTCTCAAAAAAAAAATAGTTTTTCAATTCAAAGTTAAACTTTTCTGTATTTTTTCCTCTCCATCTCTGTCGTGGTTCCTCCAGGTGGCAGTAATTCTCATGTGTATGATGAATATTTATTGAGCATCTACTTTTGCTACAATACTAACATGACTACTACATAGTATTATTCTACTAGGTGTTAAGAAATACAGAAGGGAAACATTAACAACCTAAAATTTAGTTGAGAGGCAATTCAATCATTGCCTCAACTGCTCTGTGGTAGGTGGAATTAATAGTGCCCACAGGGAATGTTCTGGAATCAGAGGCTACAGCCACAAATGTTTTCTGGAGGGCACCAGGCCTGAATTGGGCTTTGAAATGTGGTGGGAATATACAGGCAGAGATGGAAAAAGAGAACATTCCAAGTGAGGGAATCCAGAGGAGGATTTGGTCCATGCCGCTGAAATATATGAAATATCTTTTTAACTGGCCTCTCTCTCAATTTCCTCATCATTAAAAAGTAGAAAGTTTATAACTGGTGCTGTGGTTATGGAAAAGAAAATCCCTATTCTTAGAAAATATAAGTTGACGTATCTAGGAGTAAAGAACCCAAATGTGTGTAACTTACCCTGAAGTGGTTCAGAAAAAAACGTCGCCAGATAGTGTATGGGGATTCCCTGTGCTACTTGCATTTGGGGAGTTCTCTGGAACTTTGAAATTATTAGAATTATTTATATTAAAAAATGTTTAAGGATTTAAGTTATTAAAATATCTTCAAGAATTCTATCATAAGAAAATAACCACATTTATATAAAGATCATGATTTATGCAGAAAAATACTCTTTGCTTTATTTGTAATTGCAAAAAGGAAAAAAGAAGACAAACTAAACAGTCAATAATAGGCAAGTGGCTGGACATAGTCAGTGGCACATCATGTTGCCATTAAAATTAATAGGACACAGAATGGTACATTATGCTGCCATTAAAATGAATTTTTCCAGTAATTTAAGCCTCATAAGATAATGATCAGGGTATGATATGAAATGGGAAAAAGGCAAGCTATAGAACCATATATATTATATAAACTCACTTATGTACCTATATAGAAATGATCAAAAAGGAATTGAAAGAAATATGCCAAAGAATTAATAGTGGTAGGATTAGGAGTAATTTCATCTTCAAATTTTCTATATTTTTAAGTTTCCCATACTGAGCATGTATTACATTTTAAGTAGAAATGAAAATAATTTTTTTAATTCTAAAAACATTAAATTTTTAATGTTCTAAAATTATTAGACAAAGTCTAATAATCTTTAAAGACTAGTATAAAATGATACATATCCGTTCTTTAAAATGATATATCAGACTTAGATATAGCGAGTTTATGTTTTAAAAAGCATATCTACTTATGGGGTTACTGGCTGATTTCAGTGAACTAACCTCTGTAAAATGCATAGCACAGTGCCTGCCCACAGTGGGCACTCAATAGTGTTCTAACATGGTCAGCTACTTTAATAGTCTTCGCCTCCCTGCTCTTCTTGGCCAGCCTCTTTGACAAGTCTTACCGGGCGTGGGCCGGCACTGGGCCCGGGCGGGGTGGTTGACCTGCGCTGGCCTCCCCACAGGTGGCAGCCGAGTACTTCAAGAACACCACGCTGCTGCTGGTGGGC